AAAAAAAAAAAAAAAAAAAAATAGAGCCTTAGTAACATAATGGCAAAGTGCTAGAGTTCAGGAGGATGACTCCTGGTTGTGCTCAGATAATCTCAAATGGAAGGACAGATTGAGGAGCAAAATGAAATGGTCAGATTGGGAAAACAGGGTACTGACTCTCTTATAATTCCCTTCAGATTCTATTCATGACCATGACTTTCTGTAGCATCTATAGCAGTTTTTTTGCTCTGTTTTTGAAATCGGGTCGCACCACATAGTTCAGGCTGGCTTTGAGCTATGTAGTCCAGGCTGGCTTCAAATGCTCAGCAATCCGCCTGCCTCTGCCTCCTGAGTGCTGGGATTACAGGTATGTGCCACCATTGCCAGCTCTATAGTGGTTTTAAAAAGAAATCAGCTTTTCATAAGAAATAGCAGTCACTCAAGGTAATCTTTTTTTTTTCTTTGAGAGGGAGTTAAGGCGGAAAAGTTCCTGGTCAGGTATGTTTTAAGAAAGAATAAACATCTTACCTACCCTCTGATATATCACAATACATTTTTAACATATTAAAATTTAAGTAGTTCCCAAATTTAAAGATGAAGTATCCCTACACAGAATAGCCATTAATATTTTATAGAACACATTGTTCACAATTTAGAATAATTTAGAAAATAAATCTTTCCTCTGAACAAACAGAGCTAAAGGCAAATCTTTCCATCCACTCCCTGAATTTTATGCAATATTTAATAGTATTAGAAAGATAGTAATATAGGTCTACAACCTCCTAGTTGTAATTTTGAAAAACAAGTTTACTTCATAAATTTGATGTGTCGTTATCTGATGCAAAACTTAGCCTGAACTAACAAGAGGTTATGTATAGCTTAGTGGTCCACATCTGTAATCGCAGCACTCTGGGAGATGCAGGAAGGAGGAGTGCATGTTCAATCCCAGGCTGGGCAATTCAGTGATTTAGCAAGATCCTGTCTCAAAATAAATGACAAAGGGGTGAGGATATAGCTCAGTGTGAAGGCTGTGGTTCAATCC